GTATTTTAAAAAAAGTGATCATTTTAGGTCCCTTCATTTTTATTTTTATCTCATTTATTTGAATAAAAATTTTAGCTTGTCACTTTCACCTACTAAAGTTTTTAAAATGTAGCCATAAATTTGTATTAAAGAGTTTTCTTTGTGTATAAAATTTTACTAATAGAGACCAAAATGTAAGTTTTTAAAAGTACACGGACCAAAATATGCGTTTTAAAAAGTACATAGATATCTATAGAGAATCATATAAAGATAACGTTACTATCTTAGATCTAATTAATTCAATAATGAATTACTCCTAAGTAAATATTCATTTTTATTTCAAAATAAAATAGTATTAGTTGATTAGAATTACTTCGAAAAAAAATTAATAAAATGAATAGAAACCAGAAAAGACATTTTAAAAGTAGAACAAAAACGAATCAAAACAATATATATGGGTATATATGTATGAATGTACGGATTTGCATTCTGTGATAATTTAAATGATATATAAATATAATTTTACAATCCATTTGATCGATACATAATTTATTCTTAATTAATCATGTCTCGAACATAATTTAAAAATGTCTGACCGAAAGGTCCATAGCATGGAATAATTGACACTAACTTTTTAGTTGGAATATTTGGATATGTTAGAAAGATTTTAGCAATGATATGATATTTGGCCAAAACACCCTTTTATGATTAATTTACTTGAGCATCACTATATGCTTAGTTCTCTTAGGAATAATGAAAAAAATTTCGTAAGGGTCCTTATCATTCCTTAATTAGGGATCCTCTCACTTTAAAAAATTGCATAAAAATTAATCTAACATCGATGGGATGTTTGGTGAAATAATTTTGACAATTAGATGAAGTGCACAATGATAAAAGTTTAGAAGTAATTTAGGAAAGTTTATATATTATCACATACAATATATATATATATATATATGAAATGATTGCATAAAGCATTACGTATTGAAGTAATATTTTGCTATCGGAATGTTAATAAAGTAAAATAATATGAACCAAAGATCAGCTTTCGCTGCTACGATCTCAATGTCCAATTACCACTAGATCAAGAGTTGTTAGATCCAATTGCAATTTAACTTTTTTAACACAAAGATAAAGGGAAAAAAATCATTCATAATGAATTATGAAGTTCGAAATGATGTTTTAAGCTTATCCTTAAAGGTCATGCTGAATAAGTGAACGATAATGTGATGAGTTAAGCTTTAATGATTAACTAGAGATACGAGTGCACCTCATGTATGCTAAACTAAGAGCTCTATCAAACTAGACATAGTTAAGTACATGTGTTTGATCATAAAAATGATTGTCTCGTGAAGATCGGATTGAAGGAAATCAATGAACGCTCAAAATCTACACACACAGAGAAAAAAACTCTGACGTTTAAGTTAGTTTAAGTTCAATCTATTACTTAGAGAGAGAAATAGTATCACATCCCTGAGAAATGAAGTGGGTCCCTCTATTTGTAGATTTCGACTCGTAGATCCCACTTGCTCAAAGATTACAAACGTTCCGAAAATCGTAGTGTGTTGTCGGAAAAATGATTAAGAGTAATGAGATGTGGTGATTTGACCATAAGCTCGTCCGTTACGAAGGTTAGCTATTGAGAACTATATTGGTTTGCTTGGCCTTTACGAAGACATGAACGACTATGCGATTTATTCATCGGCTCGACTTGGGGAGGTGGCGTACCTACTTCTTTGTATTTCAAGACTAACATATTTTCACAACGAGTTTTTATGTTGACATGACATTTTCCAACTTATAGTCCATTGATATGTGGTGCTTGATAAATCACCTCAAACAAGAGACATGATTTGTAGTCGATCTAAATTACTAATAAAAGTTGATGTCAAATATGATTGACATTTGACATTAATGAAAGATTAGAAGGGTGGACGATTATGATTACCATATCGAATCGATGGATACGTTTTTTCCATACAAATTATCTTACTATTTTTTTTAATTTTGAAAATATAGTATTACAAATAGGTTACTTATGTCTTAATCAGTAAATTATGTTAAGATTGAGAAAGTATCTTAACTGGATAAAAGGTAAAAGGTAGTATGCTACCTTTGAAATAATCTTTTCTAATTGTTATTTATTATAATAGGACCGTGGTTTCTTGTTTAGAATCGAAAGTTTTGCAACCAATGAATAAACTATTGTATCATTTAAGAGTTTTCTTTATTAAATGATTTTACAATTGAAATGCGAAAGTGAGCTCAACGATAATTGGCATATACCTCTGAGTTTGTGAGTTTAATCCCCCAACCCCACGTGTTATACTAATAAAATTTTACAATTGAAATCAGAATATTACTTGAAACAAAAATCAATAAAATCCAAAAAGTGAACTAAAAAAATATTCCAAAAAGAATTTGAAAAGCAATATAGAGGCTTGAGAATGACATTAACTCACTCCCTGAGAGATTTTTAATTTTAGAATGCAAAACCCATAGATTAAATAAGCATATGTGTCCATTTTTAAAGTGGGTTTAGGGTGTGTTTTTAGAGTAATTTTGGTCATTTTGCCTCAAAATAACTTCACTTTCGATTGATCATGTTTGGCAGATCAAAAATTTGATTTTAGAAAAGTTTAAAATTACTTTAAATTGATTTTTAAGGTATCATTTGGACCGTCACTTTCAAACTTATCCTTAGATCAATTTTTTAAGTGATTTTTAAAGAGCCTAAAATATTTTTCTTTAATCTAGAGTGTTTAATAGTAAATAAAAACTACTTTTGAAATAATCAAATTAGTTGTTTATATAATTAGTTTTTGGAAGAGCCACTTTTAGGTTGATTATCTAAAAAGTGATTCTAGAATTTAAATAGAGTAGAACCAAATAAATTAGTAATTACAATTATTTAAGAAAATGTAACCAAATACATAAATATTTTAATTAAAACTATATTTATAACAAGTGTTTTAAGAAGGAAAAAAAAACATTTGCTTGAAACTGTGTTTAAATTAGAAGATATGTCAAATTCACGCTTAATTTGATAAAACTACCAAAGTGAAAATAAGTTAAAATCTATGTCAATAATAATAATAATAATAATAATAATAATCTTTCTGAAAAAAAAAAAACAATCAGTTAAAATCTTAGGTTAATTCTTAAACTTTCATGTTTACAGTAGTTTTAGCTTTAAACTTTTACAAGTTTTATTTTAATCCTTAAGCTTTACACCATATGTATTAATTTAGTTATTGTCGTTATTTTTTGACAATTATTTTAAAATAAAAATTTCATAATTATTAGTTAAATATACTAAAGGTTCCCTAATCCTTCCTGTAATTCTCAATCTAAGCTATTAATCTTTTAAAGTTATCAATTTAGGTGAAACATTAGCATAATAATAATAATAATATATGTGGACTTTAATATTTTAGTAAATAAATGGACAAACCATAGCTTAGATTTATTTTATACATGCATAATTGTAAAAGTAGAATTCATTTTTATATATGAAAAGGTTTTAACTTTGATTTTATCAAGATAAAAATTTTAATTTAATAAGCCATAAAATTGATACATCTTCAAAACTAAATTAAACAATACCATCTCACAAAATTTGAAAACTAAAAAAACTCAAAATCATTTTTTTAAAAAAAAAATTTAAACCTAAGCCACATAATAAAACAAGTAAAAAAATAGCATTCAAACTCAAATTAATTAAAAACTTGGATTAAATTGTAACAATCCTCACAATTCGTGAGTGATACATGCATTTTACAATATTTAATGATTTAAATTATAGCAATTTTATAATTTTAGAAATCTGATTGATCAAATAGAAAATTGATTGTAACCCTGAAATTTTTTTTATACTACTACTCTTTCCATTCATTGTATGTCATGTTAGCATCATTATTAAAAACGACAGTTGGGTCTATCAAATCAACATTAGAAATTATTTATAAAGATAAAATTATAGTGTAAACAAAAGGAATAGCCGAACAGGTAGTCGGTGGCGGTGTAAATCTTCCTATAACAATCCTTATAATTGAATTGAAGGATGGTCTTTTTAAATTTTTTCCCAAGATTAAAAAAAAAACATATAATTGAATTTTTGTCCTATGGTAATGAATATTAGAACAACCAACCAATAAAATATCCAACCTTCCCAACCAAGACCCAATTAATGGTTTAGATTTTTATCCAAAGAGGAAAATAGGAAAAATATTTGTCGCTGTCATTTCTTTTTTTGTCAACAATTTTGGGAACGACGAAATGTTGTAGGAATCTTCTCACTCTCTTCCGCGTTTCTACAATTACAAACCATAAAAACAAAGTTTGGTTTTTAAGGCTAAATTATTAAAAATAAAATATTAGGAACTCAAATCTTAATTCACAGTTTATTATTATTATTTTTTAAAAAAATTATCTGATTTTACATTTCTCCCTTAATCGTCCAACATTCAACAGTGGTTGAACAAGATAGAAGTTAGAACTAAGAAAATTTCTAGTACTACAAGAGTACCATACTCCCTCCCACTTACACAATAAATAGAATATGTAGACCCCACATAATTTTTAATACACTACTGATGTGGCAAGCAGTAAATAGAACAGAGTATAGTACCAAAAATTTTTGCGTAGGACAAACATCCATTAATATTTTAAGCGAAATGTCAAAACGAGCATAGTTTAACGGTAATTGACATATATCCATAAAGGTGGTGAGTTCGATCCCCTCCCCACACCTTGTGCTAAAAAATAATAATAATAATAACAATATTTTAAACTTGACATGTCAGAATCTAGAACGACTCACCATTAACAATTTTGTCTTTAAAATCTTCTTATCCCATTGTCTATTCAAGGTTATCTCAATCTGCCATTTTAAAAAAACGATAGCTCCTTCTATATTTTATACGTTTTCAAATTTAAACAAGTTAGCTTCCCTATGAATTATTTCAACATTTTGAAAAATTTATAAAACGTCAGAAAATTAGTATTGAAATTTTTGAAATGAGTGCGGAGAGTTAGGTGTGTGCAATTTAGCGTTTTTGAAATGGTCATGAAATTGGACCTTTTCTTTTCCAAAATCCCCAATTCAATGTTCACTGAATTCCATTTTTTCTCCTCTCTTTTCGTTGTCTTTTCCTCTCAGTTTCTCCCTTCGCAATCTTACGATTTCTCTCTCTATCTTCCCCCCCTTTATAATTCCCCCATCATCCATTTC